AGCGAAGCTCCCGTTAATAAATTCATAATTTAAATCAAACAATAAACTTGTAATCCACAGATCAGGGTACATTCATTTGACTTTTGAAGCAAAGGCTGAGTGATTTTAGAGAAAAATCAGAATTTGACCGTCCAAGAGTGAAAAAAAATTTTACATCAAGTTATTTGTACACCGAAAAATAGCAGTCATGTTCGATCACAGTAGATTAGGCCTGGAAAACAAATAGACCTATTCGTGTATTGTATTTGCATTAGCTGTAGCATCATAATGTGGCATTCACCAGTCTCTCCAACATTGCTCCGTTAGAGAGACTATGGATAATTGGACAACCCCGAAATATAATTTTAAGAAACACATGGGCCACGATAGTCCTTGGTGGCAGCCGATTTACACGTTGCATTCCTCTGTCTAAAAGAGAGGCCAAAATAAAAATCAGGCCGTATTTTTTGTGTTCGACAAGTTTAGTTTACTAGTAAATCTTGGCGACGAATCTGGTGGCGTGTAAACCAGCCTTTTAAACATACTTTTTCTCATCACGTCTCAGGTAAACAGTACACAGACCTCGGACAGAATTTGTACTTTTTTGCCCTATTTAAACCTATAATCCCGCTGTTTTTCACAATTTTGCAAGAGAATTTGCACTCATTCAATATCCACGACGATCAAAGCACGCGCTTCCTTTACACAACAAATTATAGCATTGAATTATAAAACGTTTTCTGTTAGAAATATCTGCTCCTATGTGATATGCGGGGTAATAATTATGGGCTTTTAATGAAAACGATAAAAAAATTCCCCAAATCACTTTTCGGCCAGCCGGACGGGTTCTCACTTTTGATAGGCACCAAATTTGCAGTGCGATTAATAGAGTTACCATTTACGCTTCAACATGATAGAGAAATTGTTACGTTCAGGTTTTATTTCCCTTTATTCATTAAACTGTGTATGATTTTGTTATGTGTAATCTTTAAAAGCAAGTGATATTTACGCGCGGAGTTTTGAGTATTCCTACATGCGATGTTTATGTTCGACTGGAAACAACCGGTGCAGCGATGAAAATTGCGAGAGGGACTACTAACAATCAATAAAATAAGTTTAATTCGGTGAAACATGTACAGAGACAATAATTTTCATTCACGAAGAGAAGTATTGAGAGTAAAGTGTCTCAGAAAATCATGAGTCAGGCAAGCATAAGCTTATTTATGTTTTAAGCCGGCTTCCCGGTGTTCGCTCTTTTTCAAGATGAACTAGAGGCAAGAAAATCGCTCAGAGCTTTCTGTTTACAGCCAAAATCATAACTAAATAATCTTCGGAACCTTTTCTTTGAATTTGCGGGTCAAAAAATGTCTAAAGGCTTTTTAAACCTGATACTATTGTAGGTTAGATCATTGCTCGTGTTTTAACTTAAGCCGCATAAACCATACGCTCGACTTCAGGAAACCGAAAAAAAAAAAAATCAAAAACAATAATGGCTCAAGCTTACCAGTCGAGATGCTGCTTCTGAAGGTCATCAAGTGTTCCAGAATCGCTTGAGACTTTTCAACCTTCTTACGCCTCAAGCAAGGGCAAGTGAGTAAGCTCATTTTTGAAAACGATGCCATCCGAAATCGGATTTCCAATGACTTTGACAAGCGGTGCATTTGTCAACAAAAAGCGCAATAAACAAACCAGCCACGAATTACAGAACAATCTTGATAGCAGCTGTATTTCATTTTGTACACCAAGTAGAAAAAGACAGTTTAAAACATCACAAGATGACACAAAACTCTCTCAGCTCCAGCTATCAGTAAGCAAGTTTCCAGACGCTGCAAAAATTTTCCGCATAAACTCACCTGTCAAATTTTGACCAATCAGAACATAAAAATTGGACGTAGAGCGTGATCAACGCGTGACAGTGAGAAAAGTCAAAAGCGATTGCCTTCCCTGCATGTAAATGTAAAAGCCGGTTGAATTTTCGTGTCCGAGATCAGTTCGAAATCAACATTTTAAAAGTGCGGCTCATGAAACACGACTTATTTCATATGCATTTTAAAAAAATTGAACTTGAGCCTGCGATCATTTGAAAAGTAGCAACTTGTCAGCGAATACCTTCAAAATATTACTCGAACTCAGAGGGTCGATACCTGAGCCCGCGATACGGTCAGGCGATACTGGTCAGCAGAAACACTGTTTTGACAGCTGTCAATTAATCAAAACATGGATGTACAATATCAGGTTGCAGGCTCCCAAACTAGCTAGAAAGTGTGAGATTAAACATTGGTATGCCTGTGGTGCGGACGGACGGAAGGTCGGGTGGTCGGTGTACGGTCACGTGATTGCCGAATTTTCTAGGATGGATAGATTTTCTATAAAGCTATGGGGCTTCGAATTGAGCCCGTGATCAAATAAAATATCAGCGCAAAACTTTAAACACTACGTGACCTCAATAGATAGAAAAATGAGCCCGCGATCCACTCAGGTGATGATGGTCAGCGTATACTCTAGTTTGACAGCTGTCAATTAACCTTCATTAGAATGGCGAATATTCGAATTAACAGACTACGAGTGTGAGTAGGACATTTCCGTCCGGCATGTAGTGGAAAATGCCAGATCGTGTACCTGAGCGAACCTGAGCCCTCGTTATTAGTTTTCTGATAGCGGTCTGCACATGTCCCATTTTGACAGCTGTCAATTGACCTTAATTTGGCTTGCCAATGTAACTTTAAACGACTGTCAGCCAACTGACAGCCTTGCCCGGCGTAGTTTCGTTTTTATGTTGAATTGGTAAGTGTGACATATTATATCAGCTTATATATAGGGGCAAAACGACTGGTCTTTTATCTGAGCCCGCGAGACGGTCATGTGATAATTGTCAGCGGATGTCTGATTTTGACAGCTGTCAATCTAATCGTACTCATACGGATGGCTTACATAACTAAGAGGCTAGTCAAGTTGTGCAAGATCTATTGTGACATTTGACATCGGCTTACATGAAGTGTGTGTACGGACGGGCGTACGCTACGTCATAACCAAATTTTCTGGGATGGATAAATTACCAAATTTTCTTACCCATGGTGCTCCGCTGCGCGCGCTTCGCTTCAATTAAACAAAACCAATTCCCCCCAAAATTGGCCTGAATTTGTTAAAGAATCACGCCGTACTTCGCCACTGTGTTCGTCGACGGCTGCAGCTATACACTTACAGTGAAACCTGTATTAAGCGGACACCCTATTAAGCAGACACCCTCTATTAAGCGGACAGTAGCCGAAGTCCCAAAATTTATTTCCCTTATTTACTGTAAATGAAACCTTTATTGAGCGGATACCTCTATTAAGCGGACGCAGACACCTAAAAAGTGCCTGAAATGGTCATTTCTATTGTTGCCAACCTGTCTTAAACGGCCCACACTAGTAATTAAATTCCACCACCCAACATGCCAGACACTGGAAATGCGAAGGATTGCCACCCACAAATTTTAATATTTTTACTTTAAAAAACGTGATTTGACAAACGTATTTGATTAGTTTCACAGTACAGTGTTGTTTTCTATTTCGTTTTGGTCTGTATAGAGATTGTTTCACTCATCTGAGTTCCTTAAATTTGAGTTGCAATCGATGTTTATGGTACTACCATCAATTAGTCCCCTTTAATAAAGAAATTAATGCAAACGTATATCATAGTCTCTGGGAGTATTCTAAAGGTTTCTATTGTTCATTTGAATGGCATTTGACACCTCATATAACGTTATCTATTGAAACCTGTACATATTAGGCGGACACCCTGTATTAAGCAGACACTACAGCATTCCCGAGGGTGTCCGCTTAATACAGGTTTCACTGTACGCTAGACGGCCTGAAGTCATGGTGGGGTGCGACAGGGAGTGGTGGGCTTACCGCCAAGTGTGTGGCCAATGAGGGCGAAATTTGACTATGACCATGGCAGTATTACCTATCAATTGTTTTCCTCGGCAGCTGCTGGAGTAGGAAAACTGTGTCGGTTTTTCGGTGACTTTCTGGCACGGGCGAGGAAAAAATGGATCTCGATAAGTCAGTGGTCTTTGCGTTTGACGGGGTGCCAGCCCACCTACAGTTGTACATTTGGCCATTCCTGCCCCATATGTACACAGCTTATGCTTCCCCTCTCGACATCGTTCAAAAGGATTTAAGTTGTCTGAAAACGACACCAAAGGCCGACATCTTGAGTACGAAAATTTAAAGATCTATAACAGGAATGCCCTAGCAATCCCACTCGCAGAGTTCGGAAACAAGAACTGCCGTGCTTGAAGCTCTGCGCAGAAACATGACGTTGTGATCGCAGCTAAATGTGCTAAGGGGTACCATTTCATGCAAACCTACCTCCCAAAATGTTTAAATAGCGAGGTTTTAAAGGGATATACATTTAACGGACTGAAATTCAGTCTAAATTTGTTTGAATTTCTATTGTTTAATTGAAAATCGATTTTGTGTATTAAATGTAAAGAACACTCAATTGATTGTACAAGCGCATTAATGTTTGTCTTATCCATCCTAAGGTTGTCAAGGAATGCCATTGAATTTCAGACAGTGTCATAAATGTTAATGAATAGTGTTGGCTCTTTAATGTATGTCGGTTGTCCCTATTGACTTTCAAGGTGGTGTTAATGACTTTGATGTTGGTGTTAATGAAAGTATATTTCTCTCTTTTGTATGCCCAGTGACGCATATGAATGCCCAAAAGTGTTCTTGAATGTGGATTAAAATGCAAAAATCGTAATTGAATCTGATTTATGCGCAAATGTTTGTATTTTCGCGCTAAACAAAGCAACTCTACTAGAGTCGGCATCCTGAGGATGTGGTGCATCTCCTGAATTTCTATATTCTTGGCGTTGACGAACCCTTTGCAATATGTAACAAATAAGGCAACAAAAAATACAAATTGTGTGTTATTATTCTGTTGATTCTATAATGCTGTGATTGTTAACTGACAATTGTTTTATAACACAACCGTGTCGCCCAATGTCCAGAATAATTTTTAAAGTAATACCTGTCGTGAGATAATTGTGGATCCTCATTTAATAGAGAAACCAGCGTTGCCTTGTAGACTTCTTCGTTCCTATCAGGAATGGCAACTTTGGGAGAAATCTTTCCCTGGTTAGGCAAACACACTTCAGCATTCAACAACTCATCTGAATCAAGCTCCTCTAGGCCATGAAAGAGGGGTTGCACATCATTTAGACCCTCACAAAGTGGCTGCAGTTCATCTGAAAACAATACAGCAGTGCGTGTGATTAAATCTTTCCATACGAAAAGTACTGTTAATATTAATTTTTCATAGGTTTGGCAATTTCTAAAAGTGGACATAAATACGGCTGTATTGGTAAATTGTTGCTTTACCTGAAATTGTTGGACCTCCAGCACTGATATCCTCTTCGTCACAAGAGGTAGGCGAACAGTCGGGGTCTTCATCGTCTTCGTCCTGGTTGGAACAGAATGTGTTCTCTAAGCACTCAAAGGGACGGTAAAACCAATAGTTGCCATCACCTACATTTGCCTCATTATGTTGGCCATCGTTATCCAGACAGCTACTAACACTTTCTCTTTCCTGATGACCATCATTGTCATTGTCATCATCGTTATGGTTTTATCTTGAGCACTAACAGTAGGTATCATTCCAAGGGACCTCGCCAACCTTCTTACAATCTTGATTCCTTGCTTCCATGCTTCTGTTTCTTCACCAATGGCTGGATACTCCTTCAGATTAGCCATATTAAAGGGTCGTGGGTACTGCTGTCCCCAGATACTCTCCTGTTTGGGATGCGGCTTTGCAAATTCTGGAGCCGATGGGTCCACGCGAATCTCCTCTAAACGAATCATGTGTGAAGTATTGCGTCTCAAATCTCTGAAGGTGTAGTTATGGTGGTTACCCACCCACTGGCCATTCTTACTCCAGAAGTCCTTTAGCACATCGGATCCAGTTATCTCAAGTCGACAGTCCTCCTTTGGGACGTTGTCTCTCATGTAGACGATAACCATCACTGCAAAATGACAGGAGAAAATGACATCTGTGTAGGTCTCTCGGGAGATAAAGTTCACTGAAAGCTTCACGTTCCTGTGTCGATAGACCCAATTCTGCCAGATTCCAAGGAAGTGCATAACGATGGCTGCGTACTTGATTCTATTGGTTAATGATGCCACAGAGCTGCAGAAGATCTCCACGTAATACCAGATGATTACACGATACATCTTCGTTCCCAATAGCGTGATATTAGGAGGATATCCTTGTACTGTGCCATTAATCAAGGCTTCGAGACATTCTTGTGCCTTTGGAAATGTTAATTTCTGAGCAGATTTCCAATCCTGTCTGTAACGACGTTCGATGTCACTTACACCCAAACCATAATCGGCGAAAGGAAAGACTTCGCTGACTAATTGTAGATGGTTCATGTGAACAAGATACTCGCACATTCTAAGCACACGGGTTGCGTGATCTAAGGGGTTGAGTAGTTTCTTGTGGTTGTGAACGTAATCTTGATCACACATGATAACCATTCTCGCCTGTGTCCAGCTTTCTGCAAGAAAAAATAAAGCTTATATTTCGAGGAATGGGCCTGAATCTGTTACCAACATCGACCGCGGCGAGCTGTAGCATTATTTTCCACCTCCGCGAGTTTCCATCAGAACTGTTACCGATCGGGGGACCCACGATGTTCTTAAACTCTTGGTCATAAAGTCGCTCTACTTCTTGCCACTGCTGATAGACAAAGTGGTGGTCAAACTTGTTACAGGTGGGCATAACCAGGACGGCAATGTGGGGAAGATTTGGATGGAGTGGGTTGAGCAATATTGCCCTACCGAAGGTACCGATCTTGTACTCCTTGAAGGCATTAACGATATTCGTGAAACTTTTCTCGCCATCCTCAACTTTAAGAGCAAAATAGTCAAGGCATGCATGGTGTTGTCCATTAAGCCCACAAAAGCCCAAGAGCTCATCTCTATCCTGATGGTAAGTTACATGGCCAATAATGGCTGTCTCATCCTCTGCAGCTAGGACAGGTACAGAAGAGGAAGTGATGTTAGCCATGGCTTCTTTGTACAGTGGACCAAGTTTCTTGAAATTGCTTTCTTGAATCCCTCCACTGTCAACATACATACATACATACTTTTTGTTACCTCCCCAAAGGGGCTTTTCAGGAACAATGATGCGATGTTGATTGCGCCACCGGTAGATGGAATGTATTTCAGGGCCTCCCAGGTTTATTGCCACAAATATAGCGATTCTGGGTCCTCCCATCATCAGAAGAACTTTCAAGAATAACGATGGGTGGTACCGTTTACCATTCTTTTCAACGTGCAGATTGCGCGAAACAGTCTCTAGCATTGCTATCAGAGTGGTTTTGTCATTTAGTGGTCCTTAATCTGCAGCTCTCTGCAACTTGAAACAAATAGCCTTAACAGAACCCCCTTGCCGTTATAAGGGAGTTGAACAGAGAATTTGAAGGTCGTGCATAAGCATTGGATTACCGCCATCTACAACGCTTCTTTTCGACCAATAGGAATACTAGTTCAAAAAGAAAGACAAGAAATTCAAAAAAGTCCATTTCCTTGGAAGTCAGGTATTCGTTATGTATACTTGTCGTGTCTGGTTTGTTTGTTTCCTGGCTAGTTTTCTCGTTTCTTAGCAGGATTCTAGCCTGAAATTCATCCGATTGTTTCGAGTCGTTTTCTCCTCTCAACAACGTCTGAATCGACCGGCCGTTAATGCCGTCCAGTGACATCACTCTACCCGAAAACCGGGTAGTGATTTTGATTGGTTGATTGTCTAAGCATTCGCATAATTATGTATAATTATGAAAAATTTTAGCGGGATTGTCGCTTGATATTCAGCGGATCGCATCCCTGGCATTCTTTCGTTTAGTTCAAACATTTCGATAAGCAATCGTTAAAGTATTGGGCTCAATTTGGAACACTGACACTGACCAGTTTACGTTCGATTTGGTAGATCTCTCGGAACACGCAAGTTTACTCCCAACTACGAAGCGATCGTTACTAAAGATCTCAGCCAAGATATTCGATCCTCTTGGATTGTTGAGCCTGTTTACTATCCAGTGGAAGGTCTTACTTCAAGAACTTTGTATTGAACGCACCAATTGGGATGACCAGTTAAAAGGTGATCACTTGAAGAAATGGAAATCACTCATTCTTGAGCTTCAAACATTCAACAGTGTTTATATACCAAGGTGTTTTTTTAAACTACATGTCTGGCAATTTGAAATCAGCTGAACTTCACTGTTTCAGTGACGCTTCAGAAAAGGCTTACGCTGCAAGCATTTATGTTCGCTTCATTTATGAGGATGGACGCACTGATGTAAAATGGGTTGCATCGAAGACTAAAGTGGCACCGTTGAAGAAACAAAGCATCCCTAGGCTTGAGCTACTTGGTGCTTCGATTCTCGTACGTTTGGCTAAAACCTTTCAGAACGCCTTGCCTCTGAAATTGGAAACCATGTTCTGGGTTGACTCAATGACTGTTTTATGTCTGATAAGGAATCTCAAACCTTGGAAACAATACGTCATGAGCCGAGTGCAAGAAATTTGAGCGCATACAACTCCTGATTCCTGGAAGTTCTGCCCAGGCAACCAGAACCCTGCCGATATTTCGTCACGGTATCATGTCCGCAAGTGAATTAGTCTCAGGGAAAAGGTGGTGGAACGGCCCTGAATTTCTGTACAAGGGCAGAAGGGAATGGCCACAGGAGGACCATATCCAATCGGATAACGAAAACGCCTGGAAAGAAATCATCCGGAATCCTGCAACTACTACACATGCTTTGATCAGCAGTGCACAAGTGACAAAAATTGGCGTACACCAAATAATAGAAGTCAGTCGCTATAGCAGCTGGAAGAAACTACTATGAGTTACTGCCTACATTCTGCGATTTATCAGAAGATCAAGGAAAGACAATGGTCTCGAATTATGCGCCGAAGAAGTTCGATCTGCAGAAGAACTTTGGATTAAGTCCATACGGTACCAATTCTTTTCGGACGAAATATGCCACTTGGTGACGGCTAGAAAATTACCTGAGCCACCTCTCGTGCGACAGTTCAACCTCTACCTAGATGACAGTGGCCTTCCACGGTGTAGAGGAAGATTTCAAAACAGTCTACTAAATCAAGAAGCCAAAACTCCAATTTTGTTGCCCTCAAAGCATCATGCTGTTAAGTTGATCATCAAAGACACACACAATCGAGTGTTACACAGTGGAGTAAACCCAACTTTGACGGCGATGAGGGAGTGATTCTGGATTAGGATAATACGAGGATGACAAACCATTAAGAAGATTGTGAGAAGATAAGTAAGATGCAGAAAGGTAGAAGGAAAACACGTCTCACTGCCGCAACAACCCAACCTACCCGAAGAACGCGTTTCGGATGACCCACCTTTTACGCATACTGGTGTTGACTTTGCTGGACCCCTATACACCTCAGAGAAGGGTGCAACTGGGGAAGACGCTAAGGCGTACGTATGTTTGTTCACATGTGCCTTGACAAGAGCTGTGCATTTAGAGTTAACGAAAAGACTGACTTCTGCTAGCCTTTCATCAATCACACAACGCCAGGACATTCAAGTCTGCTTCGAAGGACATTGTTAAGATATCGAGAGCTAAAGAAGTTACCCATTACATGGCCAATAATGGTGTGACGTGGAAGTTCATCGTTGAAAGAGCCGCATGGTGGAGCGGTTTCTGGGAACGCCTAATTCAAACAGTTAAGTGCAAACTCAAGAAAGTGATTGGATGAGGTTGTCTAAGTTTCGAAGAGCTCAAATCATTATTTGTAGAAGTGGAAGGCATCGTCAAGCAAAACCGCTGACGTACGTTTATGATGACTTGGATGGTATCAATTACGCGCTAACACCCTCACACTTAATCAATGGCAGCCGCTTGCAAAATACTCCTAACTCTAGCCACTTTGAGATTGTTAGTACCCATGAATCATTGACCCAAAGATCTCGGCATCAGAAACGCTTACTCAACCAGTTTACAGAAACATGGAGAAAGGATTACTTGGTCAGCTTATGCGAGACTCACGCAGCGCGTTCAAGGAGAAAAAAGGCCCTGGAATTGCTGTTGGTGACGTAGTGTTACTTCAGAATGATTCAACTAGAGAGTGCTTTGGAAACTAGCGATCGTAAAGGATTTGTTACCCAGGAGTGACAACAGAATTAGAGCAGCGGTCGTACAAGTAGCAGGTTCAAATACCTTGTTGAAGAGAAGTATCAAGCACCTAATTCCCATTGAAGTGAAATTGAATGTGGATGCGTTAACGGAAACTGATGGCCCAATTCAGTTTGAAGAATTACCCAATGCGGAAACCGATGTCATCGGCAGACCTCGCCGAAGAGCGGCGATAAATGGAGAACTATTATGGAGATTTAGATCTTAACATTGTGAACACATTCGAAATAGGAACTTTTTTTGCTATGCTTAGTAGTTTTCCGAATCAAGTCTAGAAACTGAGACTTAAGATTGTGGACTTTGGAACTTATTTTATTCGTTTGTTTCGTTTAGTTATTTTTCATCTGTATGACTTTGTGAACAGATGCGGGGAGTGTCAGAATTAGTAACAAATATATCACGTGATTTCCTCACCGCATGTATTAATATCGGTGTAGAGTTTCAATCTTGTATGATTTCATCTTTTGGTAGAATAAACGACGATCGATTATAGTTGGTTTTGGTGTTTGATATGATTTATGGTTTTGGTTTACGATGCGATTTATGAAACAATTTGTAGACGCGTACGTACGTACGCTCGGTCAATCACGTGAAAACCAAACAAAAAGAGGTTGACCATATTCCATGAGTATGGGGCTTTGTCCCACACACGCAGGCACCCAGGTCAGTAAAACAAGTATCTGTTTACTCACTGTTGCAGAAAGCTATCCTCTTAACATGTACCCATCTGGATCGATATGATGCTATTAAGCTGCACAAATCAAGAGTCTTGTCATTAGGCCAATCAGGAAATTCTCATCACCCGCCAATCTGGCATCATGTTACGAGATTTTTTCAAAAAGTTAAAGAGGAGTGATCTGGACATAAAGAAGGTCCCAGATGTCACTTTTATCGGTGACGAAGGGATCGATGCCGAGGGCTTGACCAAAGAGTTCTTCACCTTGGTAATGACTGCTTTGACTAGTGGCACTGGGGGCCACATAATGTTCGAAGGAGGAAGTGACCACCTGGTGCCAGTCATCAGTGAAGAGTGTTACCAAAGTGGTTACTTCAGATTCGTGGGACAGCTTATTGCCATGTCAGTGCTCCACAGGGGTATTGACATAGGAGGGTTATCTAGGGCCCTTACAACATACATGGTCACAGACGTTGTGGAACTAGCAAGCTGCCATCTCTCCATCCATGTCCCTGACCACTGTGTGCAACAGGCTCTTATGGAGGTACTGTTAGATAAGTAACATTACTGTTAGATAAGTAACATTTTCGTATGAAACTTCTTAAAATTTAGGAGAGGAGAAGGCTCTATAACAGAAACACATTTTACGTGGATCCACAGCAGGGGGGATGCATGGAGAGGGGGGCAGGGATTTCACTGTTCAAGATAGGAAAACAAGATACAAACGTGATACTCTAGTAGCTGGTGCAACTGGATGTGCCAAATTTGTGCTGTGGGAGGACATGGTAGATAAGGTGACCAAAGTGCTACAATTTCAAAAATCTAACAGTTCGAATTCTCGATGACACCAAATATCTCAATAGTAATGAGTCTACAATAGTAGAAGAAATTGATGACATCGAAATGTACACACTATGTACACAGTACTCGTTTAGTTTTTTCCTTTGTATGTGTTAATATATTTATTCAGTTTAATATATCGAGAAAAGTTATCTCTGCATGGCCAGATATTTAGTCTATCTTGCTATCAACTTGTAATTTACTTCCTTTTTCCCACAAATAAAGATTAATTGTTCATATTGTGAAATAGATATTTTCTTTAGTCTTAGTTATACTTAAGCTTTTGAAGTGGTTCTTTATTTAGCCTCATTCTATCCAGATGCTTAGACGTAAACAGTTTTCTTAATTTTAAGATTATCTTAACATTTTAGTTTAGTTTCATTTAAGCAATAGACTGTAACTACTTATCTGAGCCGCACTTGGCTTTAATGTTAGTGGAGGCCCATAATAAGAAACTCCGTTTCGGTATCATTCATCTTCAATCGGTTGATGATCATTCGAAATTGATCGTCCGCGATCCAAGCTTCTATTACTCTGAGCACTTCATGTTAAGATGTCAACAATGGCTTGAAACGGAAATGCAGGTGAATATCATCTGCATTTACAGGGGTTAACATCCTAATGCACCACAGGTTTTCCCAGCTCAGTGCATAAATTATGGTCTTTTAATACTGTTTTCTGTGGCACGAATGAGCCATATCCAGGGAGCAGCAATGCTCTTAGGCATACTTCATGCTAAGGAAACTGGGATAAGTTCCGGCTGTTTGGGCCTTAAGCTTGTGTGCGCCATTACCTACCTTTTTTTATGCAGACTTATTTCCTGAAAACTATCCCAGAGGTTCATTTTTAGGGTAAAGGGCAACCACACCTACAGACGACTTTCCAGTTGAAGTTATAGCTTGTAGGACTAAAACCAGCAAGGCTTTAAGCAATGTTCTGCCTCTGTCTGACATCCTAAGCCCTTTTTTGTAAAGCATGAATCGCAGCCACAAATCAATGTGAAAAGAGAACAGTTGCTTCTTGATAACGTGGAGGGTGGGAAATGATGTTTATCGATCAGCAACTTGCAAAAATGTTTTGGTATAAACATGCAAACCTGTTTATGCGCATGACAAAAAGTTGTTTAAGATGGCGGCTAGAAAGCTTGGAAAGGCTTGAATATGGCTGCCCATTTCCCCCTCCAAGTAGGTGGAAAAGTATATATCTTGATGTTGCAGAAACAAAAAGATGACAACGCACATCAACAGGTTAGGAACCATTAAAGAGAACATTTTGCTTGTCGAAGAGGACTTTCAATGGTATGTTTAACTTTTTTTTTACCAAGTGGTAGGCAAAAATCTAAAATGATACGAATTAAGTATAATTTCATATGTTGGTAGGGCTTCATGACATGATAGGAAATAAACAGTGTTATTTTGCGGCCACTTTCAATTCTTTTATGAGCACACCTGTGAACCAAGAACACAGGCAAATGTTCTGTGAGGCTAATGTTAAGAGAAATAACAGAATGAAAATTTGCTGTGGGTGATTGCAGTACACATGATCTAGACATGTCTTGCTAAAATGAGGTGTAATATAATCCGAAAACTGTTTAGAATGCATACTCTGAGGTCCCTTCACTTGGCTCTATTCTGGAATCAATGTTGATATATATTGTCCGCCACCACTCCAAAAATGGAGGTTTTTGAGTCAAAAAAATTTGTCTGGTGGTGACAGTTTAGAAGTTTATCTAACCAAAACCAACTAGGGAACCATGGAGGTGGGTACACTTTCAAATACTAAACCGAACAGACGTCTAAGAGATTTTGCCGGACTCTATGACACTTCAAAGGAATCAAAGTGCCAAGAGGAGATGCTAAGGTTATAGTGAGTGCGGATAAGCCTTTTGCTATCTCATATTTAAAAGAAACAAAAGGTTATGTTGAAATGCCACTACAGCTTCAGCATGAAATATCACTTGCCTGATCCAGCACTGTGCAGTCGATCAGACTGATTGAAGCTGGACATCTCAGTTAATATTGTTAAGGCAGGTGAATTTCAGTTGATTCCGTAAAATTATTACTCAATTTACATTTGTGGAAACCTTTGTGCTAAATGAATGACTTAACCTTGAAATAAGACTATGTAGGAAAAGTTTCGCACATTGACTTTGCTTGGACATTGGGACAACCTAAAATAGCACAGTACAGACACATCTAAACCTCTCATATTATTCAAACCTCAAATTACTTGTTAAGCAAGTTGCGCTCACATCAATATTACCAACTTAAGTACCGCAGAACTGCCTTCTTGGAGTATATCATTTTAACTACTGGGATAGAAACAAGGAAGGATTGCTAGTTCAATGAAGCCTAAAAAGGGTACTTGGTGCTTGGGAGTTATAAATTACACTGACAGCCATTACATTATCACTTGGGGAGAGGCAAAGTCTTATATTTCAACCGAGAGACAGGTTGTGCAGAAAGAGATGGTGTCCTGTCTCATTTTGTGGTTTTAGATATCAAGGTCAGAAATTTATGAGATGCAAATGCGGTCATAAGTTTTCTGCGCCCATCTCTGGATCTTTTCTCGATTTTGATGTCCTGCGAAAGGCAACTCACTGCAGAATAAAAATCATTCCTTGAAGAAGCCGATGGAGGGCATGATTTCTTAATATTGGAGAGGCAGGAAGGGGAAAGTCGACTGTGATTACTAGATCTGTGGATAATTCAAAGAGACAACAACTTTTAGGCTGTTTGCTCTACTGGAATTACGTGTGTAGTGCCCAAAAAAATACCTTTCCAGGAAGTCCGAAACAAGTGACACTCGACTCTTTTTTGAGACTTTCCATGAAGTACATTTCTATGAAGTTGTAATCACGGCATGTCATAATGATAAAGTTTGCATGAGGCTTCGGCAAGATGTTGGTATCTTGTTTAATGAGTGCTCCAACGGAAGTGCGAGACTGCTAGAATGTTTTCATGCTATAACCCCCCTTCTGAGGGGAGAGAATGGGACAGGCCGTTTGGAGGTGTTGTAGTCATTGATGTGGGGGACGTTTTGCAGCTGAAACCTGTTTAAGACAATTTTGACGATAGTACCATGCTTTACCAAAGCATTTCCGCACACCATAGAGCAAACCATAATTCACAGGTTGAAGGGGCTTTAAGAAAGCTTTAAATAATGCTCCGACTAAGAAACATGGCAGAAACAATAGGCCTGCAGCAACAGAGACCATTGCTGTCTGTCACAAGGAAAAGTGATAATTGAATTAATTTGAGCTCTTTCATTGGATAAATATACTGCGAAATTCAATCTTTGCACCGCCCACAAAATGTGCTTCCAATGCCATTCTTTGCGTTTTATTTTCCAGATTGAGAAAAGGGGACGGATTATAAAGCAGCTGAAGGATAACTGAGGAGGAATACCAAGCGAGATTCTAGAACCACGATTAATCAAGCAGTTTCTCATTGAAGAGAACAACAGCTATGAAGATCTTGTAGAGGAAATTCAGAACCAGTTCGCTGGTGCAAGAGGCTGTAGTTTGCGAAGTATGGAGATTCTGCAGTTAGCACAGAATCAAGAAGCAAGTGCCAGTGTCTGACGAGACACGCGATCATGTCCTGCAATTTTAGAGGTACAGCCAACGTAATTGCTTTCGTGATCTCAATTTTACTCATTACTGTCGATTATACTATTGTATCAAGCCTATTATATTGCTCAACGCCAGAGACTGAATGCAAACATTGAAATATTTAAAGGGGAATGACGAGTACCTAATTTTAGTCCTTTTGATATGATCTACTCAATATCGCAGGGGTACTTATCAATTAATTTCTCTTTAGTTATCAACGTATATGGTAGTCCCCCCGGGCCTTGGGGACTATTCCCGCTGGGAAGACGATTGACTTGCCTTATCCGGGCTGGCAATACCTCCTTGACGTGTCCATCATTGTTACCATGGCAAAACACTATTAATGATTAACAATGATCGCAAAAATTTTGATGGACACTTTTAATCCTTTCATATATTAGGTTCATTAGCTTTCAGTTCAGTTCTTACACGTGTTTCTTTACAAGTACACGCAGTCTTCAGTTTGCTAACCAGTTTTAACGAGTTATACTAAGATCAGAGTCCAATGTTAATAGGAAACCGGCAGCAGAAGTAAGGATTAATTAGTTTTACTTTGTACTGTTGTTTCATTACTCACTTTTTATAATCAGTGTTGTAGATACTCGAATGTTGCGCAATTATATTACATAATTGTATGTTTCAGATCGAATAATTCCTACAAATAAACTTGCATTGTTGATTATACGATTGATGGTTTCCCTGCGTTAACATCCGTATTGTGTCGATTGTCAAATGGTCCAATCACAATAGGAACTTAAGATAGAGACGTTTTCGGGGCGATGGTGACCAGACAGGCAGAACAAGCGTAGAACTGATGCAGCTGTCAACATGGATGAAGCTGAGTGCAAGGCAGAATTTTGCGTTGAAAAAGACGGTCTCCACAGGCTCGCTGAAGCCTTGCAAATTCCAGGAACATTGAAATCCTACCAAGGAACTGTATGCAATGAAATGGAGGGATTATGAATGCTGTTGAAATGATTGGTCTACCCTTGTCGTTTCAATGATATTATTTTATCACTCAGTGGAATCCAGCTGTGCTAAATCCTGGATTTCTTGAACAGTACTCTGCTGCCATCGTAGGTAAAGGTACCGCCCTAGCCAACTGCTTTGGGTTTGTTGATGGCACAGTGTATCCTATCTCCAAACCAGGTGAGCAGCAGAGGATTGTATATAATGGGCATAAAAGAGTCCACGCCTTAAAATTTCAGTTGGATGCTGTACCCAATAGGCTCATTGCAAAGGTAAGAGGCACGATTCAGACACGTTAGCTGATTCTGAGCTTCTTCAGGATCAAGAGGCTTATGCGTTCTCACCAGCAGGCTTACCAATGTGTATATAGGGTGATCCAGCTTATCCACTTAGAGTCCACCTATAAGGCCCGTTCTGAAACCCTCAACTCACCCCATTAATGAACTGGCTCTTTGCAGCTGTAATAAACTATTTCAAGTTATTGGAATTTAAAAAGAATGTAAAAATTGGAATGAGAAGCATTAGCAAAATTTATAGTCTGTCCACTGCTGCACAATGCCCACACCAGCTCTATGGCAATAAGACCTATCGTTTTTCAAGCTTGAACCCTTCACCCTCCAGGAATACTTTGGTCAGAGGTAGAAAAAAATAGGGGCCCTCTAATAAGACGATTTTAAATTTTTCTGACTGTTCCTGTGATTACCCTTGACCTGTTATAGTACTGTTATAAACAAAGAAAACACGTAGCTTAAAATTTTCTGTCCTTGATCTTGAATCTACACCAAGAGTTATTCATGCAGACCTTTTCTGCAGTCGTAAAATTCCCTGGAGATCATTGTTAGACCAAGAGGTGCACACCATGTTCCCATACATTATTGTTGGTTTAATTAGGACATTGTAGAAAAATTCTCTTTCTCTAATTGGTAGGTAGGAACGCATCTTGTTCAAAAGGCCAATTTTGGGGCTAATTTTCTTACAAAGTTAATCGACATGTTCTTTAAAAGTAAGTTCTCCGTTAACTGCAACCCCAAGCAGCTTCTGGTACAGTCTTCACACAAACCGTTCCTTTTTCCAAAATGACTCTACAAGCTCTTGAAAGGAATCACGTTCCTCATTTACATGACAGCTTTCTCGTCTTTATTTCTCAATATCTTACAATGGTGACTAGTTTTTGGGAACCTAAGGAGGGGATGAAGGCACCCTGTATAACACAGCATAAACAGGAGGTCAACTTTATTTGCCAAACCTTCAGAATTTAACCTGCATACACATTGATTAATTTTCGATCCACCAAATCCAACAATGCTGAAGAACAAATTGTTCTTTACGGTTAACTGTAGACAATGGTCAGATCCATTAACTTTATTACCGGTAAATTTCAAATAAAAAGTCTCTATCGCATTCCTCTCAACCCTTAAAGTTATGGAATTTTTCAAAAAGATAGACGCAATCTACAAGGAAAACTTGTCCATCCATCCTCCATATGTTATTGACAGCATCAAGAAAAGCGTGAATCCGATCTGTCAGATGAAGAAACTACAAGCTTTGAAGGAAGTGGTAAGCAATTTTCATTGCCTTGCAAGAAAAGCACCATGAAATCAAGGAGGTTCAAAGAAATAGTACTAATAGTGGAATTTTTCAACCCACTTTCCTTCTCTAATCTAATCCTCCAGTTTTGAGGCTGTGCTTAGCTTAGTGTAGGTCCGTGCCATGCATGGAAAAAACAAAACTGGGAAATTAAGGTGAGAATGCAAATCCCCATGCCACATGGTAATTGTAGTTAAATAAATTCCAAACGCACCTGTTCTGAAATATTCATGAAATGTATTATATTCAGATTACATAACTTGTATAAGAACATAAGGCAGAAATGAAAAGATCAAGCATAACACTAATGAACTCCGAAAAGGTGAGATTCTTCCTTGCGCTACTTTTGAAGAAATTGAAGGGTAAATTTTGTTTTCAAGGGCGCCATTTTGCGACCCCATATTGGAGTTGCAGGCCCATAATCACGCATCGGTAACTGTCCGCATGCGCGTTGAATTTCTGTTTGAGTGCTTCATCATGATATCTTGCGCGCTGATCTAGCAGACTTTACAGTGTATTGGAACCCATAAGGTAAGCCATGTTCATCTTTTTGTAAGTTCTCCCATTAAGCTTCTTATGATCCAAACATTCGTGTTTTCCAAAATAGATCATGGAAAGTAATGCAGAAGCCATCGAACTCTGTCAAACCTTTTGTGTGAAAGCGGGCAAGTCTCTTGACTTCAGTTTATCCAAATAGTTTAGGAACTCTTTCTTCTTTTGCCTTCTACTTTTGTTAATTATTTCAATACGTTTTCTTTTTCAGCCTTGAGTTACCTGTAAACCTGAGAGACCTGCTGGTTAACACGAGATCTTTATCAAGGAAGACCCATGGGCCCAACAAAGAAATCTGATTGTTTATTTACAGGGAAATGTTTACGTTTTTGGCGGTAAAAAATCTTGAAACGATGCCTTTAAAACGGGGTCTGATTTTCTTTAGAATCCGTGATGTCATTTATAACTTTTTGCAGTCGGATTTAAATCAACAGCAAGATAACGCATTCGGTTGGGAACATAGAAGAGTATACTGAAGGTGTGAAATTTGCAACTGCATTCCACGTGCACTCCATTTGATCAACACTCCGTGCAGCTGCAAATCGCAAGAGAATGCCAAGTTTGTGGCTTTTCGATCCAAATTAGGAACAAAATATCATACTCTGCTTCCATGTTTTTCTCTCTTTTGACATTTTGATCGCACAAACTTTACACTGGGAATCTCCAATAAGTAGGTTTATCCATTGTTCATCTTCGTCGACCTTAGTCAGTTTTGAAATGGGCTTACCCTTTTGCTATAAACCGTTTTTTTTTCTACTACGGAGCAGACTAGTGTAATCAATTCCTTGTGCTACTTAGTCACCACCACTGCCCTCACTCTAAGAAGTAGGGTCTACATCTTCATGAGTTTATGTTAATACTGAAGCTGATCACTGCAGTAATGAAAATCTTTAGATTAGTAACCAATCCTAAACACTTCTACACAAATACCTAACACCTAGCACATTGAAATGTATCTTTCTTTTCCTTTTTCAGCATCAAAATGGCAGAGGGTGGGTCATGCCTCATATATCACCCCAAAATAGTTGACACTATTCGTCAACAGTATCCTGGGGATACAAAAAATTATACACCCAAGAGTAACAAGGTAACAAAATAATTCAGCTTATGCCAAGACACTTAAGTAAAATGTTAAGACTGTTTCTGTCGTAGAGAAAGAGCATTTACGAAGTAACACTGGAGGATCTCATAAAAGTTTACAAGGAGGCTAATCTGAGGGATGACTTACAGGTAAGCACTTTTTCTATAGGTGGAATGTTGAGCAAACCACTTTTGGCTTACTAAACCTATAGTATATAAACCTTGCAATGGTTTCAACGAACTGGTAATTCCACTGATGAAGGGCAAGGCCCGAAACATTTGGAAAGGATAATTTCAACCTAAACACGGCATTTTTGTTCACGATTTCTTTATTTTTAATGAACATTTCGTTACTTCTAAACATACCGCATTCGCGGAAAACGGCTCAGTATTCTGTGAGATAAGGCTTAATGGGTTATTGACCCATATCCGTTTGGGGCCATGGATCTGGTAGTTCATCCAGAAGAAAAGATGAGCAAGGCAGGAATGGCCATTGCTTGACTGCATTTTTTACAGCAAGAGTAATATTACTAATATCTCTTTAATAGAAGGGACAATCAAAATGGAAGATGTAAAATGTACATTAGTCCTATATTTTAATGACATGACTACCCTAAAAAGAGTCCCAACCCTCCTTGAGCAGGACTGCATCTTACCTCCCTATTTTTTGTCACCATTTCCTTGCGTTCATTTTCTCTCCTTTTTTTTACAGCAAGAACAAGAGGCCCTAGCTCGCCAGCAGCCAAGAAACCAAAAAAAAAAAAGAATTAAAAGAAATTAGG